AGAATATACCCCGTCCCAAAATAAATACCCCAATCAAATCCTATTCAGATTCCTCATCATCAAGTCAAGATTCCCCAAATCAAATCCCATTTTGAATCAAAACTTTAATCAGATTGATACAAGAGATCACGATTTTGGGAATTTCCATTTTAACAACATTAAACGAATTGGACAAAAGAGGAAACTTTTCGAAATCTGTCCAAACTAAAATGGAAAATCCAAATCAAGCTTTCAAACCAATTTAATCAGAGATACTCATTTGAAGCCTATAAAAAGGAGACTTAAGAGACGAAAGGGATCGATTGGAATCGCCACAAACACATTTTTTATGTAAAACCTAATAGATTGAGAAAGAAAACTTATCTCTCCTGTTGACGAATCCACTCCGCCGCCGCGAATCCACTCCGCCGCTGCCAGCCTTCGGTAACTTCTTATTTTGAACTAAATTCGTTGAATTATTAACGTGTTGGATGTTGTTTCAGGTACAGAAAATCGAGCGAGAGGAAGGTGCGATCAGAGATAAGAGATGAGAGAAAGGCGAGATCGCATTTTGGGAGGGGCCAATTTGGGGAAACTAGGGTTCCGTTTTCTCTTTTGTTGTTTTGTTATTTTATTTGTAATATAATTAAAATCACACACACCACTAATCACACACCACCACACTAATCTCCCCATCTAACCCATCATTAACCTTTCGTTTGCCACTAATTGAACCCTAATCCATTCAATTAACTTAATTAGTAATCATTTTCTTAAGTAACTAATTGACTAATTAACATCTAATCAGCCATCTTTTAATTAACAATTTAGTAAACCTTTTATTAATTTATATTTCAAATTCATTAATCTTTTAACCAATTAAGTTTTTAGTTAATAACCTTTTATAATCATCACCATTTTCTTTATAACTTAAACTATTGTTTTTATTATTAATTAATTAATCCACTTAATTATTTTTTTTAATCACTCTTTTATAAACCAGATAATTCCTTTCCTAAATAAGTAATGAATATATCCATTTTTATTTATTTAACTTTAGATAACTAAAACCTTTTATCAATCATATAATAAATCACTATCTTTTTTTTATTTCTATCAACTTGATAACCTTTTATTTAAATAATAATATATTAATTTATAAGATAATAAAGACTATTTTCATAATTCACTTAATTAGTACTTATCTATTAATAATAATAAAACTACTTTATTCTAATAAAATTTGTTAATCTTTAATAATAGTAACTAAAATCAATTATTTCATTATGCGTTGGCTCGTTTAAAATTATTTCTATCTAGAATCACTTAGTTAATTTTACTAAACAAAACCTTTCACCCTTTTATTTGAGGTCACTCATTTCGAACCTGATTTATTCACTAAAAAAAACTTTTTTTTTATTTCAACTAGCATAATCCATTTTACTAAATCAATCCGATCACTTTCTATAATCAATCTCACTAAAATAATTCAAATTAAAATTAACCAATCCGTCTAAAATCAATTTAATCAACTAAAATCAATCTCTCGAAATTAATCAGTTAACCTCAACTAACTTTTCCTATAAAATCAACCTATCGTGCACATTCACATTCACGACACATTCACTCTCACACACTTCAGCGCTTTCATGCGTACATGTATGTTTATTTACCTGCCTTTACTCGCAACTTTATGTTTCCGCAATTATTATCATGTTTATCGTTCTCGCAATTGCATTCCTTCCAAAGGAAGAATCTGCGCATGATCTCAACAATCGTGCGTATGCATTCACATTTGCATCATATTCCCCATGATCCTTGATCCCATTCAAGTTGATCTTCTAAGTTAGATCCTACCCCATAGGAAGGACCATTATTCTTTACTACATAGAAACAAAACACACTACAACTCGAATCAAATATATTCAAACGCATTAGAGAAAGATGCTAAATCATCTTAAGCGAGATAGAATCTCCACCCCACATCAATACAGTCAATATCGTAGGAACTTTTCCTTAAGAGAGATAGAGGCGTACCTCGTCGATCCCTATCCGAGTACTTGAGCCCTTCTCTTAAGACGATGCAAAGACTATTTTCCTACAACTTGTGGCGGTTAAATCTCCCTTAAAATGATAACTCATCTCTTCTCCTAAAATCAATCAACCAACTACCCTAAACCCGTAGGAACTTTGACTACAGTCAAAGAACTCCTCAAACCCTTTAGGGGAACTACAAATACTCTGATTCCACTCCCGTAAGGATATGTAGGCATAAGATGCGACATCTTATCGAGTATACTTAGAAATAAACCCCCTAGGTCCTTTAACCTTAAGCAGATAAACACTTAGCAATAAACAAACATAAAACAAGAGGTTCCCGTAGAGTACTACAGAAACTTAGGATGCTAGTACCTTCCCTAAGTTTAACCAACCCCCGAACCTATAACTCTCTAAACCTTGCATTTGCATTGCATTGTGAGAATTTTGATCTTTATCCCTTCCTTTGGACAAATCAAAGTTCGGTTGCGAATTAAAAGATTCAAACTAATCAATAGTTTGGTATCCGAATTTCACCGCGACAGTTGCGCGAGGATCTCTCGGATGACTGATTTGTACCCTCCTTTCTTCTTGGTGCTCGCCAGCTTTGAGAGGATGTCTGCTCGTGTGTTATGCTCGCGAGGAACGTGTTGGACCTCCGCGGAGTCAAAACTCTTCATTCGTTCCTTTATGAGGGCTAAGTACTCGGCCAGTTTTCGTTCTTCACCTAGTATTCGCCTTGTATTTGCGAGGCGACCAACTGGGAGTCCGTGAAGATTTTTATCTCCTTGGCTCCGAGATCTTCTGCTAGGCGGAGGCCGGCCAGGAAGGCTTCGTATTCTGCCTGGTTATTCGTCGTTGGAAAGGCCAGTGTCAAGGAGACTTCCACGACCTTACCTTCCTTGTTTTCAAGGATGATGCACGTGCCACTTCCTAAGGAGCTCGAGGCGTTATCGACAAAGACGGTCCATTTTTGAGTTCCTGGGGTTGATTCTGGCGCGGGGGTCATCTCGGCGACGAAGTCGGCCAGAACTTGAGCCTTGAGGGCTTTTTTGCCTTCGTAGATGACGTCGAACTCGGAAAGTTCCAGCGACCACTTCAGCATGCGCCCCGCCATGTCGGGTCGGCCGAGCAGCTGTTTGATAGGCTACTCATTTCTGACTACGATGGTGTGGGCCAGGAAATAATGTCGGAGTCGTATGGCTGCGTTAACGAGGGTAAGGTGACTTTCTCGATCTGTTCGTACCTCACTTCTGGGATGTGAAGGGCTTTGCTCGTGAAGTAGATCGGTTTCTGCCCCTCGGGGGTCTCTCGGATCAGCACGATGCTGACGGTTTCGTTCGCCACGGCTAGGTATAGGTACAAGGTTTCCCCGGCCTCTAGCCTTGTCAACACGGGCGGCTCCAACAGGACGCATTTGAGGTGGAGGAGGGCTTGCTCGCATTCCTCTGCCCACTCGAAAGCGGCTTCCTTTCTAAGCAATTTGAAGAAAGGGAGGGTGTGCTGAGCGGATTTAGCGACGAAGCGGGAAAGCGACGCGAGCATCCCGTTGAGGCATTATATCGATTTCTTCGAGCTCGGCGTTGCAATCTTGAAGAAGGCCCGACACTTGTTCGGGTTTGCCTCGATCACACGCTCGGTTAGTAGGATTCGAGGAACTTCCCCGCGCGCACCTAGAAGGTGCACTTCTCCGGATTGAAACGCATCCTGCACTTCCTTTGTCTCGAAGACTTTCCTGAGATGTGTCGTGTGGTCGACTTCTATGCAGAACTTGACGATCATGTCGTCCATGTAGACCTCGAGCATGTCGCCAATCTCTCCTCTGAAGACTTTGTTCATCATTCGCTGGTAGGTGGCGCCAGCGTTTTTTAGGCCGAAGGGCATTACGTTGTAGTAGTAATTGCCTGACTCGGTCATGAAAGTTGTGCTCTGTTTGTCGGCCTCAGCCATGGTGTCATACCCCAAATTTGTCCTACCTTTTTCAAAATTTTCATTTGTCCGACTTTGTTTTTAATTTACCTCGCTTATACAGCGTAGCGTATTTTTCAGCAAAAAGAAGCATTTTCACTTTTTAGCCCAATAAGAGTGTGCCATGTGGCATTTGTTTTGTATATATTTATTTCACAATTTCTTTTTTTTATGATATGTAATATATTTTTTGATATTAATTGATTAGATTAGATTTTAGAAGTAAGATTATTTAGAATAGAATTTAGAATTATTTAGATTTTTATTAAAAATAGATTGTTTTAATTAAGATAAATAGTTTATTATTATTATTATTAAAATTAAATTATAATTTTGGTTTTTATTAGAATATAGAGTTATAAAATTTTATTAAAATAGATTAGCAATAGGTTTAGATTAACTAACTTCAAAAATAGAATTAATTAGTAAAAAATTTAAAATAAAATGAAAAGTAAAAAAGAGGCAAAGAAATTGAGTTGAAGATAGGCCCATTGGTTTTTGCAGCCCGTTGAGAGAATAGAAGAGGAAAATGAAATGGAGGGGTCAGTATAAAAGAGGTTACTATTCCTCTTCTTCGTGAGAAAAAGAAACGGCAGAACCATCACCTTAAAACCCTAAAAACACAAATGTTCATCCTTCTCAAAATTCTGAGCGCCGCCACTCACAATCATCACCATCACCAAGAAAAACCCTTCCCTCTCCTCTCTCTCCAGATCTCCGCCGCCACTAACCCAAACAAACCCTTAACTCTCATCATCCCCAAGTCATCACCGTCCTTTCTCCTTCAATCCATCGCAACAACCATCACCTTCCTCAAATCATCGATGTCCTCTTGCCTTCACCATTAACAAGCCATTAGCCTCTGAATCTCCGTTTACGCATCCTCTGATTTGTGCCTTTCTCAAGGTCATCGTGAGTAGCAGCTTCACCACACCGACACATTGAGTCAATACCGCAGTTTCGCAAAATACTCCGACAACAAAGTTCTCGATAACGATTTGCTAACAGTTAGTGCACTAGCTGAAGCAGGCCTTGCTTGATGCTGTAACGAAGCTCTCTCTATTCAACGAGGAAAGTGCAGAGTTTTGAAAACCACAACTCAGAAACAAAACGGTTTCACCGACAACAACACGGCTCGACTCTACGGCATCAGGTTTCGCATGAACTCGACAACCTCGCAGCGGACTCGACAATCTCAAGCGGCAACGACAACCGAATTTGTTGTTAACAAGAACTTGAAGTAGAGCATACGACATGGCTCGAGCAGCAACAACATCATAATCAGAGCTTTCGTTCCGACGCCGACATCTTGCAGCAAACTCCTCAACTCTGCAACAATAGAACTCAGCAATATTGACAGCAACAATCCCACTCATCGCAAAGTCAGAACAACAATTGACTCAGTGCAGATTATGTACATCATGTTTCGCCTCTGGTTGGTTTTTCTTTTGAATTCTTTTTAAATACGTATTTGTTTTTTTCCGATTTGTTTATCGTGCTGAACATTTGAAATTGTATGTGGTTTAGTTGTGTTGTTGTTGGTTTATTCAAATCAGATCTGCTGCTTTTATCTTGCATTTTAAGCCATGAAAACGTCATTTGGAATTGTGATTTGGAATTGTGGTTGTTGATTGTCCCATTTATTTTTGGTCATTCAAATTGATGCCAATTAAGTACTTCTGTCAATTTTGCATTTTTCTTGTTTCAAAATTGTGGCATGTTTTAAATTGTTAATTGATGCCTGTTATGGTGAATGCCATATGTAATTAAGTTTTAAGTATTGTAATAATGCTATCACAGGGTTCATTGCTGCTACGCATAACTTGTTGTCGGTGTGTGGCATTGTGTAGTGTTGGTTTATTATGCCTATACTTACTGCTTTGAATTTAGATTTATAAGTTATTTTGGTGGTACTTGATTATGAACTTTAGATACATCAAGGGATTCATAATTGGCAGCATGTTCAAGTACCCAAAGGATTGGTGTTGTGTTAACTTGAAAAGGCACTGTGTGTTCACAATTTTGTTTAGTTTCCGCAAGATTTCGTTTAAACTCTTGTTCTGGAGAATGTATAGTATTTCTAAGTTAGTCTTGTATTAGTAATGACATTGCATTCTAAATTGCAATATGGTGTTTTGGTTTTGATACAAAACTTTCATATACTGCTACTGCTATAAAATTTGAATACTATGTCATTTATTATTGTTGCATCTTCGTGAAGGGTGTCGTGTCTCCGCAATGCGTGTTGTAGCATGGGTAGGCTTAGACTTGTTTCTCATTGTCATTATTCATATCCATTATATTGTTATATCATTTTGACCATGATTGGTTACTACAGGTTGATATTTCACTCTTTTACTGTGATGGTAATAGTTTGGCATATAATACTTTTCAATGTTGCTATTTGGTATCTCAATAACACATGTTTTATGTCCCATTGAATTATGCTAAATTCTATATTATGTTTTAATAATTTTTGATCATTTGTAGTGGTTTATAACCATGCCGAAAGATGTGAGCTTGAATTGTTATTATTTCTATGCATTGCAATGAGTTAGATTTTCATCGGCTACGACAAATTCATATCGTTATGCCACCAAATATTCTTACACACTAATTGATGTTTTCTCCATGTTTTGGTCATTACGTATGATATCCTTTTCGCGTTATCATCACGCATAAACCAATTTTGGGCATATTTCAATTTAATCTCAAATTTGTGTGCATTTCAATTTTCAATATTTATTTTTAGCTAAAAATCACATTTATTCTATTAAATTTTATTTAATTAGTTTTGTTTCTTTTTACAAAATCTTGGACTATTTCAAAGTACCTTTTAAAAGCTAGATTAAATATCTTTCAAAACATGATTAGACAAAATATTTTCTTTTGTAATAATGAAGATAGTGGATCTTGAGGTCTAGCACCTCTTGGGTCCTTGAACCGCCGCTCTTAATGCGCACGCCTTGAGTTGTGGTTGTTTCGTCTTTCATTTTCCAAAATGTTTTTTTCACTTAATTTAAATGAAATTTCTAAGAGATATTCTTAATCACTTTTTATTGATTAGATATTTTTATAAGAAAGTTTAAATTATTCTTCTTAAAAAAATATACTTCAAAATTATTATCAAGTAATATTTTAAATATTAAACTTTTAGAAAATTATACTTTTTAAAACTTTTTCTAAGATATTAAACTTTTTTAAAAACAATTAATTATGATTAGCTTTTCTTAAAATATTTTTATAATTGATTAATTAATTTTATATATGAGAATTAAAACTATTTTTCCTACCCAAATTAAACTATCTTCCTAAAACAATTTTCAAAACAATTGAATTCTTGGATCTCGCCTTCCTTGAATTCTCGAGGGACCACTCTTGAGGTGCACGCCTTAAGTTGTGGTTACTTTCATAATAATTTTTAAAAATAAATTTCTCGATTTAGTCGAGCCATTAACTTTGATCACCATATATAACATTTTAAAGCTTAATCATGGGCTTCCTTACAGTGACACCTATTTGATCAATTATTTCTAGTTGGTCACTTAGAAGACTAACCCATTTTGCTAGTACACACGTTTAAAACTCAAAATTCAAACCTCGACTCCTTTCGAGCCATATTTCAAAACATCAAAGAGGAGGAGCTTGGAACTAAAGCTTGCACGCAATTTCAAGGGTCAACAGAACCACTTCGTTCGATAATTTTCCTTACTTTCAATCTTATATTTCTAGAATACCTATCGCGCCTAATTCGAACATGCTAACCTACTCAAATCATTTTTCTTAATTAAATTACGAAAGTATCGAGTTCTTGGAGTCGCGCATTCCTTGAATTCGAGAGCGACAACTATTGAGGTGTACACCTTGGTTAGCGTGTCATTCAAACTTTCGTTTCTAAAACACTTTCTCTAATTACTTAGACAAGTACTTTCACTGTCCAACAAACATATTTCATAATTAATGGAATGAAAAAAGTGTCGTTGGGATCTAGCATTTCAACGATATCCCGACTAATCGGTTACGAGGCTGACGTCTCGCTTATCGAATAGTCGTCATTCCTCCTAAATTTTCAACCCTCCTAACTTTGTTTCTCGCCCTCGTGCGGTCGAATCTAAATCTCATTCAATTCAAAACTCTTTCACGTCTAAACCGTCCTTCAAACATAAATTCTGAAGTTGATCGAATGAAAAAGGTGTCGTTGGGATCTAGCATTCCAATAATGCCCCGATTAATTGATTGCGAGGCTGACGTCTCGTTTATCGGATAGTCGTCATTCGCCATTAAACTACCTAACCAAACTCCTCTTTCTTGCCCTCGTGCGATTGAAACATTTCAAACATTAAATTCTTCGCCCTCGTGCAATTTCCAACTCAAACATACCTGTTCCAAAGAACATTGTTTAGTCCATTCTTCCGCGCATAACAAACTCGAGCTTCAGCCTCCCTCAGCGAGCAGACAAGCTAATGTTTAGCAGTTAGAATGCGACCTAAACTCTCGTTCGACTCAAATACACATTTTCTCAAAGAACATTGTTTAGTCCTTTCTTCCGCGCATATGAACTCGTGCTTCAGCCTCCCCTAGCGAGCAGACAAGCAAACGTTAAACAGTTAGAATGCGACCTAAACACTCGTTCGTTTACCAACCTTTTACCGTAGTTAGCCGAACTACAACTGCTCTGATTTCTCATTTATCAATGAGAATACGTAGGCACAAGATTGCGATGATCTTGGCGAGCACAATCCCCTTCTTTACCCGTAGTCCCACGAACTACGAATGCTCTGATTTTCCACTTCTTACAAGTGAAGATACGTAGGCACAAGGGCCCCAATCCTTGTCGAGCACCCTATCTTAAAACCACACATCCCCCCTATAGAAGAAACCTTAGACGAAAACAAACAACTTAGCTAACTTTACTCTCAAATGATCAAGAGGTTCCCGTTGAGTACAACGGACATGAGGGGTGCTAATACCTTCCCCTCATGTAACCAACTCCCGAACATAGAATATTGGTTGCGATGACCATGTTCTTATCTCTTTTAAAGGTTTTATCGATATTTTCCTATTCCTTCCTTGGAATGAATAAAGTTCGGTGGAGACTCTGTTCGAACGTTTTTTCCGCGTCCATCGCGAGGATCATATTTTTCGAGGTACGACACATGGGCATCTGGTTGTACCCCGAGTACGCGTCCATGAAGGACAGTAGTTTGAAGCCTGTTGATGCGTCCGCAAGTGCACGGAAATATCGAAGTAATATAAAAGATTTGTCGAACCTACAGAGACCAATGTCAATCTACTGTTATCTATTGTCGTGGCGTAAAGCTAAGGCTAATGGAATTAGGAAAGTTAAATGCAAATGAAATTAAATTTAAAGGAAATGGTTTAAGGAAAAGCGGTAAAGGGATATTGGTATGTAATGCTTTAGTTTTCGGGGATTCAACTGGTCGCCGGTGTTTTTTAGTCTTCGCAAACACTTTTCAGAAGAAAATACTCGTTTAAAGACTTTCGTCTCACGATGGTTGTTGACTCGGGTCATAATTCTAAGGGCGGAATGTACGCTTTCGCTATCCCATTCGGGGTTAAAACTACTTTTTGAAAACAAATAGATTCTAATTTCTTTTAAAGTGCTTTCGCTGTGTTTAAAATAAATGCCTAGTTTTTACTATCTGGTTCGAACCCCAGCTTTCGCGTGCCGGTTCGATCCTTAATATGGTTTCCCACTGTCGTGGCAAAACCATCGTAAATAGCTTCTCACTATCGTGACAAAGGTTTATTTAGAATTTAGATTAAAAACTACGGTCAGAAAGGTTGTTTGTAAGAAGGCAGGGTGCACCGGGTGTTATCGAATCGCGTCCTACTAATTCAATTACATACCGATAAGACTAATTTAGTTGGACATAATAATTAATGCAAATGGAAATAAACATAAACAGCAGAGTAATAGAACATGCATTGTGACAGAAAATAAAACAATAATTTAATTAATAAGAACCTAGGAAATATTACTGAAACCGAATTCTTGAGTAGTCCTCCACAATGTCGGCAGGATTCTACTATGGAGAAATAAAATTGCAGAAATAAACACAATGCTTTAAACTAAAGGGAAAAAGGAAAGAAAATAAAAGAAACAAATAAAAATAGCTTCAATAGGAATTTTGGCAGCACTTTGATACGTCGAAGCCTCCCCCCAATGCTGTGAATCTCAGGCCTATTTATAGGAGGTATTTTCTTTCTCAACTTCCAGAGATCATGGGTGAGTTATGGAGGGAGTGGGAGTAACTTCCAATAGTGGGCAGTAAGTGGAGAAAGTGTATGAGAAGAAATGTTGAGAGTGATCGTGGCCACTTTTGATTTGGACGTCATTCTGATATTTAGTTTA